AGAGCCCCCACCAACTGCACCCCACAACTGTACCACAAGCCCAGCCCCCTTCAAAGCACACATACGTGCCCTGCCCCCACCCAAGTGCATGCATGGGCCCAGGACACCCCCCCCCACATGGGCTCAGGACACCCCCAGCTGCACCAACAGGCACAGGACCCCCAGCTGCACCCCTGAGCACAACCCCCCCACCTGCGCCCATGGTCCCACCCCCACCGAAGTGCACCCACGGGCCCAGCTCCCACCCAACTGCACCTGCAGGTCAGCCAGTCACAACTACCCCCATGGGCCTGGAACCCTTTGGCATGTCCCTCCCCCAAAAGCACCCATGGGCCCAGCATCCAACCAACGACCCCCATGAGCCAAGCCCTCTAAAAATACACTCAGGAGGCCAGGCCCCCAAAAGTATAACCACAGGCCCAGCCCTCACCCAACTGCACCCACAGGCCCAGGCCCTATCCAAAAGCACCCATGGGCCTGGTCCCACTCAACTACATGCACAGCCCTCCTCAAAGCACAGGCACAGGCCCTGAACCTCCCAAAGCGCTACCATGGGCCCACCCCCACCAAAGCACTACCACTGGCCCAGCCCCACTCAACTACACCCACTGGCCCAGCCCCCACCAAACTGTCCGCTGGCCCAGGCCCACCAACTGCTCCCAAGTGTCCAGCACCACCCAATTGCGCCCGTGGGCCCAGCCCCCACCCAACTGCATGCACATATCCAGCCCCCACAAACTGTAGCCATGGATCCAGCCCCCACCAAAGTGCACACACGTGCCCAGCCCCAACCCGACTGTAGCCCCGGGCCCACCTTGCCACCAACTGCACCCACAGGCCAATGCCACACCTAAGTTAAACCAGGGGCCCAGACCCAACAGCGCACCCTCCGACCCAGGCCCCACCAAGTGCACCAACAGGCCCAGCCCCAATACAAATGCACACAAGTGCCCAGCCCCCACCCCCCTGCACTCACGGCCCCTGTCCCCNCCCCAAGAGTACACCCAGAAGCCCAGGACCCCAAAAGTATACCCATGAAGCCAAGGCCCCACAGAAGTGCAGCCACAGACGCAGGCCCTGCAAACCGCACCCACGGGCCCAGTACCCAAAAAGTTTACCCATGGGCCTAGCTTCCCCAAGAGTACATCCACAGGCTCTGACCCCAACCGCACCCATGGGCCCAGCAATCACCCAAAGCCACCCATGGGGCCGGGCCCCCCTAAAGCACACCCATGTGCCGTACCCCCACCCAAGCTCACGCACTGAACCAGGACACGCCCATCTGCACACACGGGCCCAGGCCCCCTGCAGCTGCACCCCTGAGCTCACCACCCTCAACTGCCCCCATGATCCCACCCCTACCAAAGTGCACCCATGGCGCCAGCTCCCACCGAACGGCACCTATGGGTCTGCCAATCCCAACTGTACCCATGGGCACAGAATCCTCTGGCACTGTCCTCCCCCAAAAGCACCATTGGGACCAGCATCTCCCCGAGGTACCCCCAGAGTCCCAGCACCCCAAAAGTACACCCAGAAGCCCAGGACCCCAAAAGTATACCCATGGAACCAGCCCCCACAGAAGTGCACCCACGAGCCCAGGCCTTACTCAAATGCACCCACGCGCCCTTCCCCACCCATCGGCATTCACAGGGCCACTGTCCCCCAAAACACACCCACGTGCCCAACCCCCACCCAAGTGCATGCAAGGGCACAGTTCACACCCAGCTCTACCTACGTGCCCAGCCCCACAAAGGTGCACCTGCAGGTCCAGCACCCCACAAGTGCTCTTGTGAATCCACCCCCCACCGACTGTACCCACAGGTCCAGTCCCCCTCAAAGCACACAAATGGGCCCAATCCCCACCAAAGCACTACCACTGGCCCAGCCGCCCCCAACTGCAACCACAAGCCTAGCCCTCAGAAAAGTGCACCAATGGGCCCAGCCCCTACCCAATCAGGCCCACAGGCCCAGCCCCCACCAAACTGTACCCACAGATGGGTCCAGGACCCCTGAAAGTGCACCCATGAACCCACCTCCACCCTATCTGCACCCACGAGCCCAGCCCCCATGATGGAGTTTGGATGTGTTGTCCCCTCCAAAACTCAGTGGAAATTTGATCTCCAATGTGGCAGTGTTGGAAACTGATTGAATCATGGGGGCAGATCCCTCATGAATGGATTAATGCTCTCCTTGGGGGAGGGGGATTAATGAGCGAGTTCTCGCTCTATTAGTTCCCACGAGAGCTCATTGCTTAAAAAGACCCTGGCACCTTTCTCTCTCTTGCTTCCTCTTGCCATGTGATCTGCTTGTACCTATTGGCTGCCTGCCACTTTCCACCATGAGTAGAAGCAGCCTGAGGCCCATGCCATATGCAGCTGTCCCAGAATCATAAGCCAAATAAACCTCTTTTCCTTATAAATTACCCAGTCTCACGTATTTCTGTTATAGCAACACAAAACGGACTAATACACCCCACCACCTGCACCCACTGGTCCTGCACTCACCTCACCTGGGGCTCTGTGTCTTCCAGAGAGCTGCCTCACTGTTGGGCCAATGCCCTGGCCAGGAGGCATTCAATAAAGGACCATTCTGATTACAAAAAAGCGGAGATGGACGTGGCAAAGCTCCTATAAGAGGCAGTCCCTCCCTGGTCTTGTGGTTCCCTGCTCAGGACAGCTGACTCGGCTCAGGCCGCTCCCACCTCTCCAAGAGCTCCCGGACTTCTGCTTGTACCCTTGGCTCCCTATGTGTCTGTCCCTATGAATCTTTAACCCAGAACCAAGCTGGGGTCTCAATAAAGGAAAAAAATTTCTATCAAGCAGAAGAGAGGCTGTCCTGCTTTTCTCCTGGAAAAATAGACCCCAATCCATTTTCCCACGAGCAGTCTCTACCCCGTGTGTGCCCACCCTCAAAACATGGCCCAGTCCTGTGCACAGCACTGAGACCCAGAGGCCATGGGAGTCTGCTAAAAACAGCTCTCGACATTCCCTGCTCTGAACTGGGTACCCAAGGCGACCCCACTGTGACCTTGGAACACTTCAACTCCCCTCCCGGGCCTCAGTTTCCCCACTTGTAAAAGGATGAGGGAGGACTAGATGCCATCTTATCCTGTGCCCCCAAATGAGACAAAATCGGACAGCAACATGCACCGAACTCTGGGAGCTCCTGCCTCCCCGCGCAGGCAGGGTCCTTCACTGGAGCCTAACATGGGCTTTGCATTGTGGAGAGAATACAGTGAGCAGGTGCATGCTGGGACTAAATCCTGCTAAGAATGATAATCTGGTCCAAGCCTCAGGCCCTGACCCTTTTGGAGGCCATTTACACACACTTGGTCACAGCGCCCACTGAAGAACGGCCCATTCTTCAGGCAGGACCAACTAGGCAGGGCCCCAGGAAGTCCTGGGGTTGGGGGAGAGTCTCTTGACCTGACACCCCCCAAGCAGGGCGCGCCACCCCTCGTGGTCCCTCCCTCGGGTCTCCTCCCCAGGCCCTGCAGGACCCAGTCCACGGAGGGTGGGTTGAGCAGGTAATAGACAGGCCTCTGACCCCTGGCTCCAGTCCAAAGAGAAAGTCCAAGGACCAAGGCGTGGGGCCTCCAGGGGTCAGGTTAGTTCCTCGATCCTCCATCTCAGCCAAGAACCCCCACCCCACCAGCAAGCCCAGGGCTTCACACTTACAGACACCAGGACAGAGGCGCCTCAGGGACACATGGGGAACAGTCCCGGTTCGGAACCCGTAGGGCCCTCTAACACTTCGGGGACTTCACTCCCAAGCACTGCTGCCACCCCCAGGAACTCTCCAGAGCCACCCTCTCACCTCCAGCGCCGCCCCTGCCCAGAAGGCCTCCCGGGTCGGGGGCTGCTCACCCCCAGGGCCCTCCGGGTCGGGGACTTCCATCCCAGGGCCTTCGGGTCGAGACCCTACGAACCAGTGGCCTCCCCCGGCTCGTCCCCGACCCCGGATCCCCGACCCCTGGCCGCGACTTTCCGGTGCCCCCGAGCCCCGGCTCCCAGTTCCCCCGACCCCGGGCTCCCCCGTCCCGGCTCCCCGGTTCCCCCGACCCCAAGCTCCCTGGTCCTCCCGAACCCCGGCTCCCAGACTCCCTGCTCCCAGTCCCCCCAACCCCCGGCCTCTCCTCACCGGCCGCGGAGTCTCCGCAGATGCCGGGCAGTGCCAGCGCCAGCAGCACGAGCATCAAGAACAGGGTTTCGCTTCCATGCGTCTCCGCAAACCGCCGCCGTCGCCGCCTCCGCCGTTTTCAGAACCGGGGCACGCCGGACGCCCCAGCAGCGCACGCGCCGGCTCGGCCAGGCTCGCGCTACGGAGGCCGGGGGAGGGTGGCGGCAGCCGCGATGGCAGCACGAGACCCCGGCGTGCTGCGCTCCCAGCCTGGAGAGGCGCGTCCCGGCGTTGCTAGGATACGGGGGCGGGGCCTGCCAGGATGGGCGGGAGCCTGGTGAAAAAGAAAAATAAAAAATGATCAAAAAGTGGTTGCAGTGGTCAACTTTTATTACGTAAATGTTATCACAGTTAAGAGAAAAAAAGTTTTAAGTCAGGAGAGAGGGAGCTGATAAAAATACCTGGACGGGCAGACTACGCGGCGGCGGCGGCGTCCGCGAGCCAGGAGAGTGCCGGGTGGCAGCGGCGGGGTGTCGCGCGCTGCGGGGCGGCCCGGGCTTCGGCCTCCCTCCGGTTCCCTGGAAGTGGGGCCGGCGGCCAGCGCGGGAGCAGCAGCAGCAGAGGCGGAGGCTCTGGCGCGTCTCTCTCACCTTCAGCCTGAGCCAGGGGAGGCCAGGCGGCCCGGGTGGCTGGAGGATGTTTTTTAATGCTTTTAAGAAATTGGTTTAAAAATTTATTGACATGATATACTATTTGTACTGAGAGGTAACTTGACCCAAAATACCTTTTTTGTTTGCTTAGGGTATTTTTTTTTCAATATCTGAAAGTTGAAGGTATTTCTGTTGTAACTGTAAACAGACATTCTAAATGTGTTAAAACATATTCTTATGTACTCTATTTGTATATTTTTCATACCCTGAAAATCTGAAGGTTAATTCAAACTGGCATGTATTAGAATATTCAAGAAAAAAAATACCTTTAATACCTTTAATTTAGTTTAATTTAATACTTAAAATTTTGTCAAGATTTTGATGAGGAATAATAGCACAAGTTATAATCACTGATAGCACTTTGAAAGTTCTTTTCTATAAAATATAAAATACTCAATATCTAAATCCAAGTCAGGCATGGGAGATCAGTGTTTATCATTAGATGTTTTGAGTTTTATACTTATATTGTTCAAAATGCAATTATAACATTTAATATTTGTCGACATGCTTTTTACAAAAGTAAATCCTAAACTACTAAAAAAAATGTGAGTCTTTTACCTCCTTGACTAAATTTATTTCTACATAATGTATTCTTTTTGATGTTATTGTAAATGGAATTTTTTAAACTCCCTTTTCAGGTTGTTCATCATTAGCGTATGGAAATGCCATTTATTTTTCTGTGTCAATTTTGTATCCTGCAATTTTGCTGAATTTGTTTACTAGTTCTGGCAGTTTGTGTGTGTGTGTGTAATCTTCAAGATTTTCTACTATAAGATCATGTCATCTGCAAACAGAGATAATTTTACTTCTTTCTTTTTGATGTATATGTGTTTTATTTGGTTTTCTTGCCTAATTGCTCTGGCTAGGACTTCCAAAACCAGGCTGAGTAGAAATGGCAAAAGCAGGCATCTTTGTCTTGTTCCTAAGGGGAAACACCACTGAGTATGATGCTGGCTGTGGGGTTTTATTCATGGTCTTTATTATGTTGAAGAAGTTTCCTTCCATTCCTTGTTTCTTGAGTGGTTTTTTAATCATAAAAGGATGTTGAATTTTGTCAATTTTTTTTTCCTGAGTCAATTAAAATAACCATAGGTTTCCTTCATTCTGTTAATGTGGTTTATTACATTGATTGATTTTTATATGTTCTAAAAATGCAGAAGAATAAATTATTTCAACACTTCTAGCCAGGAAAAGTTTCCTTTCTCAATAAATGCAATTTCTTAATAAATGGGTTGTGGATTAATGAGGCTTTTGTGGGGACTGGGACATTTAGAGGAAAGTTTAGAAATCCTCTTTTGGTGGAACTGACACTGACCATCAGTTTCCCCACAGCTGGTGCTCAGCACTGGACAAGCAGCCATCTCTATTTTTGGAAATAGACAGGAAAGCTTTCTCAGTGTACCTCACTGTCACTCCACCCATGGGTTCTGGTTTCATATTCTGGAATTCAGCTATTTGGAGACAACCACGTCCTATCAGTAAGTCATTCCTGACAGAAGTGGCCTGAAGGACCATCGAGCCAAGCCCGCGGAGCTCTGACTGAGCTTGCTCTGCCCCCAGCTTCGTCCTCTGCCCTTTGAAAATGACTGCTCCCTGGGGGAATGTGGATGGTTTCCGATTCACTGCTTCTTAGCTTTCTTCCCAGTTTTTATGGTGTGCATGTTGTTGGTTTTTGTTTAACAAAAAAAACTAAAAACACACATTTGTTTTAAACATGCAAGAGTTTCTCTAGCTCTCCTTTGCTTCCAGACACCTCCCTGTCCTGGCCACCCCCTTGGTATCCTATGGCTGTCACTGTTCCTGAATCTTGCTATATGTATCCCAGAATTGAGCTGGGATGGGGCTTAGCAGAAACAGTGGAAACTGGTCTTCATATATGAGGACCCAGATGTGATCTTGATGTGGATGCTCCAATGGGATGGTGCAGGGTTGTGGACAGCGTTTAAACAATCTTATCACACTGTGGTTTATATGATTCTCCACTTCTTTTTCACATGGATTGCTAAGGTGTTTTCCCCACAGTTAAAAATCTAGATTCAAACTTGATACTTGTTCTGGCATTTAACTCATTGCTCTGAGCCCACCATTCCAGGCTGTCAAGCTTATAAGTTGAGTTTGGCCATCCCTAACTTTCCCTAACAGTTTTGTACTCTCTACAGATTTGGCAAGAAGTTTTCTAGGTCCAAACACTGAAAAGCAAGAACAGATGCTCTGTTCTCCACTACCACACCAATTCAATTTTTTAAATGTAGGTGTTTAAATCTCTGCCGAAAGAAATTAAAGAGAACATGAAAAGACGGAAAGACATTCCATGCTCTTGGATTGGAAAAATTCACATTGTGAGAATGTCCCTATTACTCATATTCAATTTTTAAAATGTAGGTGTTTAAATCTCTGCCGAAAGAAATTAAAGAGAACATGAAAAGACAGAAAGACATTCCATGCTCTTGGATTGGAAAAATTCACATTGTGAGAATGTCCCTATTACTCAGAGTGATTACAGGTTAAATGCAATCCCCATCAAAATACCAATGACATTCTTCACAGAAATAGAAAAAACAAACCAAACATTCATAAGGAACAACAAAATATCCTGAAGAGCCAAAGCAATCCTGAGGAAAAAAAAGAAAAATACAGCCAGAGGCATTATACTACCTGACTTCAAATTATACTACAAAGCTATAGTAACCCATAAAAACAGACACGTGAACCAACCGAACAGCATAGAGAACCCAGACATCAGCCCATATACCTACAGCCTACTGATCTTTGACAAAGGCACCAAGAACATGCAATGGGGAATAGACGGCCTCCTCAAGAAGTGGTGGTGCAAAAATTGGACATCCATATGTAAAGGAATGAAACTAGACCCATACATCTTGCCATATACCAAAATCAACTCAAAATGGATTAAAGACTTATACATAAGACTGAAAACTATAAAACTACAAAAGAAAACATAGGGGGAATACTTCAGGAAGTAGGACTGGGCATAGACATTATGAATAAGACCCCAAAAGCACAGGCAACAAAAGAAAAAAGAAACAAGTGAGATTATATCAAACTGAAAAGCTTCTGTATGGCAGAAGAAACAATTAACAGAGCAAAAAGACAACCTACAGAATGGGAGAAGATTTTCACAAACTATGCATCTGACAAAGGATTAATATCCAGAATATACAAGGAACTCAAACAATTAACAGTAAAAAAACGAGTAACCCATTTAAAGATTGGGCAAAGGAGCTGAATAGGCATTTCTCAAAATAGGCATTTCACATGAAGAAGTGTTCAACATCACTCAGCATCAGGGAAATGCAAATCAAAACCACACTGAGATATCGTTTCACCCCAGTTAGACTGACCATTATCAAAAAGATGGAGAATAACAAATGCTGGCGAGGATGTGGATAAAGGGAACCCTTCTACACTTTTGGTGGGACTGTAAATTGGTGCAGCCATTGTGGAAAACAGTATGGTGTTTCCTTAAACAACTACAGATAGATCTTCCATATGATGCAGCAGTCCCACTGCTCGGTATGTACCCAAAGGAATGGAAATCATCATGTCAAAGGGATACCTGCACTCCCATGTTTATTGCAGCTCTATTTACAATAGCCAAGAGTTGGAACCAACCTGAATGTCCATCAATAGATGACTAGATAAAGAAAATGTGGTATATACACACAATGGAATACTACTGTGCCATAAAAAGAAATGAAATTCTGCTATTTGCAACAATGTGGAGAAACTTGGAGAAAATTATGTTAAGTGAAATAAGCCAAGTACAGAAAGAGAAATACTGCATGTCCTCACTCATAAGTAGGAGCTGAAAAAATTTAAACATAAACAGATAAACAAAAAAACAAAAATACAACAATAACAATAATTCATTGAACTTTCAAAAGGATAGAATAGAATTGAGGCCGCCAGAAGTGGTAAAGGTGGAGGGGAAGGTGGGTTAATGGGAAATTGGTAAATGGCCCCCCAAAATGATTACATCGTGTAATGATAAATATAGGAATAAAAAATAATAAATCAATGTAAGTGTTCAACTTTTCCAAGTGTGCTACCACACAGACCATATTTCTCTTTTTCATATATAGGATTTTACGTCAAATGCCTTATGAAAAAAATTTTAAATGCTCTCTCTGGAGTTTTTATGAGGATTCACTGAGTATCTCTATCTAAACAAGGAATGGGTGAGTTTGGAATGGGTTGCTGTCTTTCACGAGCGCAGATGCCCAGCAATCTCTCTCTGACCCAGCACAGGTGCCCAGTGATCTCTCTACCCTCTTCCTAATGGTCACAAATCTTAAGTTCAACCATCTGTCCCAGGAGCTTTCGGGAAGCAATGTCAAGCAGACCGACAGTTTTCTAGGATGTATTTTTCCTTTTCCCAACTCCAGTCCTCTTGGT